ATGAGAGATGATGCCCTCTCCTTCTTCCTCTTTTGATTGGAGAACAGTTTTCCTTTCTTCTCTTATGGATTTTGGTAGAAACATGTTTTCTGTTTACTTTTTCTAACTGTGATCCTGGCAGTGAGATGCATGCTAGCTCTCCAGGTCATATAGCAGCTTGGACCTTTCATAAGCTCCATACAACTGTGGATGGAGGTCCTGCTGCATGCCACATTGGCAGTACATTTTGTTCTTGCAGAGGGCATTCTGGTCTTCTTGATTCTATATTTTATTCTTTGCCAATCATCAGGCAGTGTGCAATGGAGAAAACAAAATTTATTGAGAGCTTTCAGCTCTGTAACTAGCAATAACTATTCCTGGCTGGCCACAAAGTTCCCCAGATGTACCCTGCTATATAATCCTGATTTTCTAATTCATTGTAAATTCACAACACTGTGCTGTCAACTATCCCTCTTTTCATATCTACATAAAAAAGAAATTTCCTGGTAACATTCTTAAAGCATTTGATAATGCTTATAGACTTTATTAAAAAGAAAACTTTTATTGTATAACATACATTGCAGAAAACTAAACATAAATGTATAGCTTGATGAATTTCCACAAACCAAACACATTTATATAACCAGAACTTGGATCAATAAATAGTCCATTATAAGTACACCCGAAGCCTTTTTATGCTACTTTCAGTAAGTCTCTGCCCTTCTTCCTCCAAGAACAATCATTATCCTGATCCCTAAAAGCATAGATTTATTTTGCCTGTCTTTGTACTAAAGTAAGTGGAATTATACACTACATACTTCCTTGCATCTGGCTTATTTCTCTCAATATTTATGCTGTTCAATCATATGAACGCATGTAATTGTAGATTGTTCATTTGAATTGCTATCTAGTGTTCCATTGTGTGTCTCCATTGCAATTTATCTATTCTATGTTGATGAGCATTTGGGCAGTTTCCAGTTTGGAGCTATTAGAGATAATGCTGCTGTCAACATTCTACTACATACCTTTGCTGAACATACATCTGCATTTCTGTTGGGTGTACGCCTAGAAGGGGGATTTATAGTCACAGTGTATGCAATATACCCTGCTTTATTAGATAATGCCGAAGAGTTCCCAAGTGGTTGTACCAAACCAAATTCCCACCATCAGTGTGTGAAAGCTCTAGATGACACACACACTCCCCAGCACTTGATAGTTTCCCTCATTTTCATATATATATGAAACTTTCAGGTTGAAGAAGATTCCCAGAGTACAGAAGACTTTCTAATACCATTCTCCAAGTTCTGTCCAAAGTGTAGCAATATATATAGGGCAAATTAGACTGGAACTCTGACAATATCCCAATTTATTTCATTGGTGATGGGGAATGGGTCAAATGAACACATACAGGTTTGCACACCATCAAGAAGCCTATGGGTTTAGTCATTTTAGGACAGTCAACTGTTTCCTGCTGATGTTTGTTATTATGTATATTTTATGACAAAAACAAAGAGAAATATCATTCACAATTCCATTACTGTAGCATACTAATAGTTTTTAGTTCCATTATCTGCACACATATCTGAATTTTATATGGTTACAATCATGGTCTTGATATAATTTCATATTATGCATTTTTGAACTAAATGTTTTCTCTAAAGCACTTTCTCATGTTTTAAAAATATTTCCTCATATATTTAGGTTGCTTCCAATGTTTTACTATTCTAGAGAGGTCTATAGAAATATCTTCACCAGTTTACCTTTGCTTAAAAAAACTAATCTTTTAGGCAAAAGTCCTAAGAGTGGGATTATGGAGTAGAAAATTATCATTTTGTTTGGCTCCTGATTTATCGTTCATCTCTCTCTCCAAAAGGCTTTTCACAGTTTATACCAGAGGAATCCACCTTCTTGGAAAGCACAAGAGCTAAGTTTGACTTACAGCAGCAAGTGCTCTGTTAGCTTCATAAACAAAGAAAACATATGACATATTGTTGAAGTAAAGTTTTAGCTTTTGGAAGATTTAAAAATTCTTGCTTAGCTTCATTTGTAATACAAATTTAGAAAAAAAGCAAATTTCCACGAGCAGGTGAATGGATAAACAAATGTGGTATAGCCATGCAACAGAATACTACTTAGTAATTAAAAGGAAGGAATGATTGATACATGTGTTACAACATAAATGAATGATGAAATAATTATGCTTAGGGAAAGAAGCCAAAAAAAAAAAGAGTACATACTCTATGATTCCATTATAGAAAACTCTATATAATGCAAACTTAACATAGTGACAGAAAGTAGATGAACATTGCCTGTGGACATGGGGTGGGGTAGAGAAGAGCAGGAAAAAAGGATTGCAGAAAGGCGCATGGAAACTTTTGAGGCTGATGGATATGTTTACTACCTTGATTGTGGTGATGGTTTCATGGGGATATATATATGTTAAAATTTATCAAATTGTACACTATAAATAGGTACAGTTTATTACATATCAATTATACCCTAATTAAGCTGTTTTTAAAAATAACATTTCTTGCTCACTATTTCTAACTCTCTGAAGATCTAAAGAAAATGAGGAGCAGGAGTTGCTGTTAGTTCATTATGACTATTTAGTGTAGTGAGTTAAAGGGACACAATTAAACCTACGATACTACATAATAATAATGAACAACAATTTCCATCCTTCATTTTGTATGCCCAAAAAAGGTATGTTCAAGTTCTGACACTGGTACTTGTGAATGTGATCTTATGTGGAAAGAGAGACTTTTCGGCCTGTGAGATACAGGAGCCCCAAATCCAATGACTGGAGTCATTGGAAGAAGAGGAGAGGATGCACAGATAGACACACAAAGAGAAGAGCACCGTGTGTCGATGAGCCACACAGATTGGAGCGATGCAGCTACAAGCCAAGGAACACCAAGGAACGAGAAAGAGGCATTGAGAATTCTTCCTTAGAGCCTTCAGAGGGTACATGGCCCTGCTGACACCTTGATTTTGGACTTCTAGCCTCTAGAATTATGAGTGAATACATTTCTGTTATTTTAAGCCACAGAAGTGGTAATTTGTTATAGCAGTGCTTGGAAAGAAATGCATATACCAATATGGTTTTATTAGCTACTATACTCTAATTTGGTAATATCAAGGGAGTAACACATGGTATCTGCACTACAGAAGCAGATGTCTGATTATTAGGTTCGGCGATGAAACTTTGTATTTCAAAAAATGGATCCCCTTCATTCTCTCCTTATTTCTGTGTCTGCTGTCCTGAAGCCAGATGTGTTACCATGATGTCTTTATATTAGTATATTAACACAGCAGTTCTCAAAGCACTGTTCATGGACACTTTGAGCTGCCTGAGACTCTTACAGGGGGAGGCCAAATCTATTCTCATATTTTCCCTTTTCACTGTGTTGACATTTGCAGTGATAGTGCAGAAGCAACGATAGGCAAAACCGCTGACACCTTAGGACAAATGGCAGTACCAGCAATTGCACTAGTAGACATCTTATTCTTCATCTTCATGACTGGCAGAAAACAAAGAAACATAAAAAGAATGGGACTTAAGAATGACCTTGATGAAGGAGCAACATGATTTATTAAATCTTTATCCTTCAGTACTACATGTATTTTTAATATTGTATGTGATGTTATGGGGAGTACAAATAAAGCACTTCTGTTACATACAGAAGTACACAAAATAGTACCTGTGTAACTGAGTTCTAGCTAAACTAGCGGCTTTTCCCATGAACACCAGTTTTACTTGACAAACAAACTTGAGCTATTCAGGTTATTCAGACTTGGGTATTTGGCAAACATGTCCCTCCATGCTCAGAGATTCTCCTTCAGAGGCAACCATCTTAGACTCTGTTTTCTTTACTGAGAATGACATTTCCTGTAAAAGCTTAAACACAGGTAGGGCCCAGGTATTTGCTTAAGGACAGAAAGCGTAATGTTGTAGAGGTGGGTTCCCTTCCAGCCCATTACACTTCTCATTCCACTAAACGAGACAGGTGGTTTTCCACATTTCATGCATCTCCTCTTTGAGACAGTGAATCAATGCTGCAAGAGAAAAAAATGCCAGATGGAAAAGCTGACAAGTCAGATATTACACAGCCACTTAATTTTTATTTTGTAATTTTCACAATCTGAGCAACCAAGTAGAATATATTAAAAGGATACTAAAAACACACTGTGATAAAATTCATTTGACCAAGAAATATAGGCTTTCATGTTTTTGTCTCCAGCTCAGCCTTTTCTCATTTTTAATGTCAACTGTTTTCTGGATTTGGCACTTATTTTGACAAAAGCTATGTTGAGTTGCAAATTGAAACATGGTGCATAGCTTCTATGATTAAGAAATTCAGAATCTATCCAACCTAAGGCCTTGAAGGCAGAAAGAAATGCCCAGAGAAAAGTATCTCAACTTTGCCATGTACCGATGAATGCCTGATACAAATATTAACTGTTATTTCTGCAAATGTTCCCAGTTTTTTTTTTTTTTTTTTTTTTTTTTGAGACGGAGTCTTGCTCTGTGCCCCAGGCTGGAGGGCAGTGGCGCGATCTCGGCTCACTGCAAGCTCCGCCCCCCGGGTTCACGCCATTCTCCTGCCTCAGCCTCCCGAGTAGCTGGGACTACAGGCGCCCACCACCTCGCCCGGCTAATTTTCTTGTATTTTTAGTAGAGACGGGGTTTCACCGTGTTAGCCAGGATGGTCTCGATCTCCTGACCTCGTGATCCGCCCGTCTCGGCCTCCCAAAGTGCTGGGATTACAGGCTTGAGCCACCGCGCCCGGCCCCCACTGTTTTCTATACTTCATTTCCCCCATTTGTGAGACTGCAATGTATTCTGGAAACCTGATGAATAGAAACTCATGATTGAGTCTTCTCAGCATGGGACAGGTCAGTATTTGTGGCTCAGCTGGCTGGTGCCAGAGTGGAGAGCTTGTCTGATTTGTTTCCACCCCGGGCACTGAAGGATTTTCAAGATTTTCCTCTTAATATTTGGCTTTACTTGATAATCCTAGAGCACGCTGGGAAATGGCAGCAAGAGAAAAAATTTCGTAACCACAGGGAGGCCTGCTCAGAGGGCTGTGGGTAAGTATGAATGCTTATGTGTATGCCTACTAATGACTCTTCAATGTTCTGCTTTTCACAAGGTTTTCCTTCAACAAAGAGTATGTAGGCTTGTGAGGACAGTGGGCTTTTAGAAAACTCAGCCATTCCCAGAAAGACAAACACACATGTGAGTCATTTCCCAAGAGAGATGTCACTAGTCAGGAAGGTATGTGGAACCACATGGTTCAGCTTGCAATTTAGAATTTCAAAAACAGGAGTTGGCCAAGAGTTGCCTAAGGTTTTTAACCTCACGTTTTTACCATCATTTTTCTTTCTTATTTGTTGAATGCTGACCTCACCCTTGGCATAGGTGGGATAGAAGAGATGCTAGTTGCCTCTGATCAACATTGGAGAAGGTGCCCAATTAAGAAATAGGCTTTATAGCCAAGAAGGTGACTAAATCCCAAAGGCTTGTTTGTTTTCTTTGTGCAACCCAACTTCTTATGTGCTTTCTTTTGGATTCTGTTGTTTCCTTTGTTTTTGTTGGTTGGTTGTTTATATGTTGTTACTAAGACTCTGTCTTGGAGATGTTGGACAATAGGCTAGTGTCTCATTGGATATGGGTGCTCCAGATGTGAGCTAGGTCCTGGAAGGAGGTGGTAAGAAGGCTTTGCACTATGCCCTTGGGAGGGCTGTTTTGCTGGCTGGGTGACCAGGCTCTGAGGCAGTCTGTTCCTAGAAGTCAATTTTCTAAACATTCAGCAGGTGTGTGAGACATCTGACCTGCTTATCTTGGTACAGAAGGAATCCAGCTGGAAGTGATCTGTGTGCAGCATGTCCCATAGAAATACAAGGAGTCTTTTCTTGTGACCCTCTACCTACAAGGCCTCAAAGGACCTCACTCATAACAGCTAGGATGACTCTATGAACCTCTATATGCTGGAAATAGCCCCAGCTTAATTTAGTTTAATTCAGTTCACATTTATTAGGTTCCCTCTAAGAAAAATGCCAGATAATTGAACATAATTAATTTTTGTGATTTAGTTTATCCTCATTTTAATTGGACGAAACTGGGGATTAGAGAGGGTAAGTGGCTTATCCAAGTTCATACAACTATCCTGCCACATAGCTTCATTTTGATGAGAAATATGACTTTCTCTTTTGTGATAAAAATAAGATCTTGCGCCCTGATGAGTTGGACAGTCTGGGAGTTCCGCCTGTTCTGATTTTTTTTTTTTTCCTGGTGGGATATTGGATGAAACATTATAATACTCAATTCTAAATTCATGATAACTTTGGGAAATGTATGTGCTTGTGTACGTGTGTGTGCTTGTGTGTGTATGTGAAATATAATGTGTGATAGTTGTCCCAGGCTAGATTTCCTGAAACAAACCCGTGTCTTTTGGGGCACTCATCATACCTTCCCTTTACTCTCTGTCTAATGCTGGTCTCCCTTAGGCTCATCAATTAGAAAAGCCTATAGCTGTTGCCACATAACTGCCTGGAATTCTCAGTGTTGATATATCATCTTCATCTGTTTATAGAGAAATGAAAATTTAGCCACATTTTTTTAATTACTTAAGTTGAAGACAGCTCAAGCCTGTCTCAACAAAGTGAGAATGTCTTCTTTATATAATCTCAAGTCCTCATGACACTTATGCAAACCTTTTTAAAGAATAAATATAAAAGGAATATTGCCCCCTGATTATGTAAAGCTGATGTGGCAGATATGGTAGATTGTCTTGTTTGACATCTGTACTATTTCATTCTCATCTGCTCTTCCATATAGCCTTTGTCAGGTATCCTTGTTTTGAAGGATCTCAATATGTTTTAACTTCCAACCTGATGCAAATTTTAGTGGCAGCAGTGCTGAAGGCACCATTCACTCTTTGGAGTCTAGCAGAAGCAAAGTCATGTTAAAGCCCATAGCTCTTAGCAGCTTTCTAATTACCAGATTGCAGAGAGTACAGATAAGTTACTGTAATCCTGAAGTGGTTTCCTGATTCCCTCATATATCAGTCAAGAATCTCCAAAGAAACAGAAAAAATAGAAGATATATATGTTAAAGAATTGGCTTGAGTAATTTTGGGGACTGGCAAGTCCAAAATTTGTAGGACAGGCCAGCAGGCTGGAAACTGAGATAGGAAGTGATGTAGTCTTGGGTCTGAAATCTGTAGGACAGGCTGGCAGGCTGGAAACTCAGGCAGGATTTACATTAAAATGTTGAGGCAAAAAGTGAAATAAATAAAATGGTGAGGTGGAATTCTCCATTCTCTAGACAATCCCAATTTTTGCTCTTAACACTTTCAACTGATTAGATAATATGTGCCCACATTATTTTTTACAGGTAATGTTCTTTAAAGCCAACTGATTGTAGATATTAATCACATCTACAAAATACTAGTCTAGCAATATCTAGACTAGTGTTTGACCAAACAACTGGGCACCATAGCTGAGCCACGCTGACACATAAAATTAACCGTCACATCTTGTTTCCTGACTGTGGTAGAGATAACAATGAACTTGATGGGCCACTTAAGCAGGATTCTTCTAGAAATCTACCCTGCAGTTTCATCTTAGAACCCGCTATGACAACCAGCTCGTCTAAGAAATTTGTAAGCATCTTACTCTCTTTCTGCTTAAAATAGCTAGAGTGGTTTGTTATTTGCTACTGAACCTCATTGATATTTTAGCAAAGTCTTGATATCAAAACCTGACAAGGGGAACATGAGGAAGAAACTCTGCAGACTAATTAGGCTCATGAGCATAGATACAAAAGTAGTAACTAAAATATTAGCAATGTGAATTCAGGAATCCGTAAAAAAGACAACATATGACCAAGTTGGGCACATACCAGAAAAGCGAAGTTCAGCATTAGAAAAACAGCTTATTTAAACACCATATTAACAGATGAAAGTCTTTCTCAATAAATACATAAAAAGCGTTTGATAAAATGCTATCAGGAAACTAAAAATAACAAATGTGAAACAACAGGAAACTCAATGGCAGAATGTTACATTTCTTTTAAAAACAGCAGCAAGACAAATACACCCACTATTACTACTTAGATGCAATGTATTGGTAAAATTTTCAGAAAGCAAACACAAGAAAAATAAATGATAATTATAAAGACGAGAAGCAGGAACAAAAATTTTGTTACTTATAGATGAAATTATTGTAGAAAAACCCGTAAGAATGTAGGGACAAAAATTAAAATAAGTAAGGGAGCTCAGTAAGTTTGCTGGATAAAGCTCAATATACATTACTCTATTAAATAGAAAAAATATGTATTTAATTAGCAGCAGTAAAATTACAAAGTGTATAAGAATAAGGCAAATAAAGTAAAAAGACCAATAAGAACAAAATATAGCAATTCTATTGAAAGACCCTAAAGAAGCTAGAAATGAATGTTGAACATATTTTAGTTTAATGTTGAAATGAACATATTCACAACACTGAACTTTTCTATAGAAAAACATGTTGAAATACCATGTTTTGTACCAGTGTTGTAAATACGTCAGTTCTCACCAAGTTCATTTGCAGTTATAAAGAAATTTCAATCAAAATCTCAACAAGAATTTTTACGGAACTTTCTAAGTATATTTTTAAAATTTGCAAGAAAGAACAAAGTATTATAAATAGTCCAGATGCTCTTAAAGAAGCATAAGTTGGCAAGGTGTAGAGTTAAGGGTGGAAGAGGCTTGGCTACTTACAAGCATTAAAAACTGGTAATTATGTTAGTAGATATTGGCATGGTGGTAGTAAGTAATCAATGCAGCAGACAGGAAGCTTAGAAACAGATAAACTATATATGAAAATCTGATACAGAGCAGAAATGGCACTGTAGATTATTAGGATATGAAAAACTAGAAAATTAGACCCATACTTCACATCAATTTCAAATGTAACAGCAATTTAAATATGATGGGCAAAACTTCACAACTTTTCTAAGAAAATGTAGAATAGCTAACATTTGTAGTTAAAAAGTATTTCTTGACCAACACACAACAAGAAGTACATTTTGATTCTGGAATTACTTGTTTATTAAATATTTGTTTGAACTTCCATGTAAAACTGTCTGATCCTGGGTTTCCCTTTATGAAAAATTTTAAAATTGGCGTAATTTCTTTTATGGATATGGGTGACATTGATTTCTAATTTAAGCTCATTGAGATCAGCAAATGCAGATTCTGATAGGAGTCTTTAAAATTTATTGAACCTTTCCTTATTTAGTCAGTTTTTAATAGACATTCCATGCATTCTTGAATAGAATGTTCTATAAATGTACATTAAAGTAGGAGTTAATAATTGGTTTACTTAAATATTCCATATACTTACTGATTCTTTGCTTGCTTGGTCTATGAATTATTGAAAGATGTTAGAATCTTTCACCATAATGGTGGATTTATCATTTTTTTCTTTCCATTTTATAACTATGTTTTATATGTTTCAAAGATGTTTTATTGTATGCGTACATGTTTAGAATTTTTGTATTCTTCTGGAGAATTTCCTTTTTATTAATATGGAGAAACTCTCTCCATTGATATAATTATTTTTTTTCCCTTAAAGCCAATATTCTCTCTGATATTAATTTAACTGCACTAGGTTTTTAAATTCCTTTTTTTCTTTTTCTTTTTTTTTGAGTCAATTTCACTGTTGTTGCCCTGGCTGGAGTGCAATGGCACAGTCTCAGCTTGCTGCAATCTCCACCTCCTGAGTTCAAGCAATTCTCCTGCCTCAACCTCCCAAGTAGCTGGGATTACAGGCATGTGCCACCATGCCTGGCTAATTTTGTAGTTTTAGTAGAGAGATGGGGTTTCACCATGTTGGCCAGGCTGGTCTCAAACTCCTGACCTCAGGTAATCCACCGCCTCAGTCTCCCAAGGTGCTGGGATTACAGGCGTGAGCCACCATGCCTGGTCTTTAATTCCTAATATATATATTTTCTATACTTTTAATCCTTCTGTAAATTTCTGTTTTAAATATGCTTTCTGTAAATTCTCTTTCAAGGTGGGACTTTTTTTTTTTTTTTTTTTTGAGAGGGAGTTTCACTCTGTCCCCTGGGCTGGAGTGCAATGGCACCATCTCAGCTCATTGCAACCTCCACCTCCCAGGTTCAGCGATTCTCCTGCCTCAGCCTCCCAAGTAGCTGGGAATACAGGCGCCTACCACCACACCTGGTTAGTTTTTGTAGTTTTTAGTAAAGATGGGGTTTCACCATGTTGGTCAGGCTGGTCTCGAGCCCCTGATCTCAGGTGAACTGCCTGTCTTAGCCTCCCAAAGTGCTGGGATTACAGGCGTGAGCCACAGTGCCCAGCCGAGGTGGGACTATTTTAAAAAATATTCAATATGTAAGTATACATAGTTTAACATTCTTTGTCTTTTGGGTGATTGAATTCATTTATATCAATTGTATTACTGATATATTTGGATCCATTTCTTCCATCCTCTTTTGTGAGTTTGTGTGAGCAGACTCCTTTTGTGCACTAATAAGTTTAAAGGTTTCCCTTGAGGGTAACTGGAAATTATCAAGGTGTTTTAATATACATAATATACATACACAGACACACACACACCATAGGAAGTAGACTATTTTTACCTTTATTTTATGTCTAAGGAAATTGAGCCAGAATGGTTAATTGTCTAGCCTTAGGTCACAGAGCTATTCTGTGGCAAAGACTAGATTGGAACCAAAATCTTCTGGAATTGGACTCCAAGTTCATCATTCTTTCATATTTCCATGATATCTTCAAGATAGAGGGTCTATCATCTATGTAGAACTGAAGATGACAGAAGACATCAAAGGAGGATGGGGGCTTCCAGGAAGAGTCAGTAAGATGGGCTGAGGTCAGAACTTTTATTGCCCTTAAATGGATGTTGAATGGAGTTTTGAAATTGAACTACTTTTTGCTTTGTTCTTGTTTCTCTGATGGATTTTCTCATTAGAAGGTGATGATGTTTTCTACTACATAAGTGGCATTTAAATACGGAGCCTTTTTTTAATTGCTCATGGTATTTCACTCACGATGAAATGAAAGTCTCGTGAAACTATAATGTGAAACAGAAAAGAATGGTAATTTTGCTCATTTTCTTGAAAAGTAGGAAGATATGAAGAAAATTGTTGAATACGTCTGACAATAGAAGACCTAAGGCCTAAGAAGTCCATTTCAATGAATCACAAAAGAAATCAAAGAACAGAATTTCTCTCTTTTGAAGTATTGCTTTATTAAGTATTGCTTTATTCAGTAATTCACTTGGCAAAAATTCACTTGGCAAAAATTTCTTCAGAACTTTTGCAGCATCACTGAGTCTAGTTTTGGCAATTAGTTTAGGATTTGAAGGAAATCAAATGACACTTGACTAAATTGATTGGTTAAATAAAACTTTAATCATTAATTGTCCAAAGTTATAGAGGCCGTGTGATTTAAGGGAAGGGAGGAAACTGCAATTATATTGGGGGATTGAAGAAAATCAGGTTCAAACAGTCTGATTTTTTGTAGGTTCTACATAATTTTGAGATGCTCGTTTCTTCTCCCTTAGGTCACAGCAGCAGCTTTCTAGACCTAGTGTCATGTCCCCTTGTCCAAATTGTGGCCACTTCATGATAGTATGGATCTTCTGAGAAGAGCTCTAAGTAGTTTGAATGTACTGTGAGAATCAGATTGAATCTAGCTTCAGAATCTGAGTTTTGCAAGTCTAGGTCACACACACACACACACACACACACACACATATTTTCTTTTTGTGAGGTAGGGTCTCACTCTCTCACCCAGACTAAATTGCGATTGTGCAATCACAGCTCACTGCAGCCTCTACGTCCCAGGCTCAAGCGATCCTCCCACTTTAGCCCCGAGAAGCTGGGACCACAGGCGTGCACCACCATGCCTGGCTAATTTTATTTATTTTATGTAGAAACGAGGTCTCACTATGTTGCCCAGACTAGTCTCGAACTCTTAGGCTCAAGCGATCCACCTGCTTTGGCCTCCCAAAGTTCTGAGATTACAGGCATGAGTGACCGAGCCTGGCCAGTGACTAATATTTTTGATAGAATAAGTTACAAATCTGGAACATACTTGTTTTAAAAGTAAAAAGCCTTTTAAATTGGCAAAATCTACAATTCTAGGTCTTAAATGAAATTTAGCTGGACATAAGCAAAGGCTGAATTTCATTTTGAGTCACTGATAATCTAAGTTAAGGGCTTTTCTTCTGTTGTAGGTTCACCTCTACTTTGTGTTACTGTGGGAAGTGGGGGTGCTGTGTAAGAACTACTAACAGGTAAAAGATGATGCAGTAGACTTTAGTCTTTTAACTGGTCTCCTCACCTCTATTCTTGTTCCTTACAATTTATACAGATAATACCACTGGAACCACTTTTTTAAAGCTAGTTGAATCTTATGGATAAAGTGTTAACTTCATAGCTTGGACTAAAAATGATTCCTTGTCCAATCCTGACCTGGTCTTAATCTCCAGTCCTCTATCACCACCTCCAAACATGCACACACACACACATACACACACACATTTTAACAACATGCTACTTGCTGTTTTTTTCTCTGCTCATAATAGTCTCACTGCCTGCCGTATTCTTGACTGTCTTCTACCTTTATAATCTCAAGACCCAGATCAAATATCACTTTCTCTTTGAAGCCGTCCTGAACTTGTCTCTTATTTGTGCTCTCTTTTCTGTGCTCCTAAAGCACCTTGTAAATTCCTCATTTTATAGAATGTACCAGCAGCATTCTAGTAATCCATTACGAGACATTGGAATAGCGAACACCCAGAAAAAGTGGCTCTATAGGGATGAACGTTCCTCTTCCTGTTTACTACCTTTACTCCTGTCACTTCCCACCTTGCTGTTTTTTCTGTGACTCCAGAGTGGTCTATCTGGGTCTGCTGTTCTTAGGTGAACATCTGTTTCCAGAGGATGCACAGAAAACAGGCATATGTAAATCAAGAATTGTCAGTGTACCGGACACATTTTGCTTCAGTTTAAGAAAAACGAGGAATCAATTAAGCATGTGAAAAAAAAAATCTTCCCCAAATGTTGATATATTTTTTGAAACTCACACTAATCATGTATCTTATTTTAATATAATACTACATATAAAAGTAAATGTTTATGCTGAGGTATTAGGAAAAATATTTCAGTTTTTACCTAAAATTTGGAAAAGTATAGTAACCTAAGCAGCACAAGTTTAGAAAGATGAGCTATTCACAGTTATAAACCAGTCTGGTAATAATAGTAATAGCAGCCATTTATTTACTATTAAATCTCAAGCACTGTGAGGAGTACTGTGTACACATTTTATTTAATCCACAAAAAACTTGTGAGCTAGGTATAATTATCTCCATTTTATAGAAAAGAGAACTGATGCTCCAAGAGGTCATATAACTTGTCCAATGTCACCCAGTTTGTGAGTAGAGTTAGGGTTTGAATTTCAGTCTTTCTGCCTCCAAAATACATGTTCTTTCTACCATACTAGTATAAGGTAACCTCTGAGGAATGATATCTGTGAAGAAATAAAGAGCTTTTCAAAAGCTGGACTTGAATACTAATACACCTATAACTCAACAGCAAATAATTCTACTAACTAAAAAAAAATGTACTTAAGTCAATTTGGCATATCTAAAAATGCCCACCACACATAGTGGCTACAAAATCACTTGAAATAAATGATCAGAGTTAGTTATCTCTTGAGGATTATTCATCACTGTCCCCCCAACATGGAACCTCTGACATCAACCCAAAGGCACTGTGTAAAAGCCATGACTCCATAGCCCTGTGTCTCCATGGTCCTGTCCCACCCCCAGTTCATTTCTCTCCTCCTTCTGACTTCCTGTTTTCTGCCCCTGAGGCTAGTCACAGCATCCCATGCTGCCTTCCTCACTTCACTCTCTTCCTCTACAGCATTCTCTCTCTTCTGGGCACAGCCTTGGTGCATGACTTCCTTGACAATGGCTTAGCCTCTAGGTTGACAATGCAGACCCAGATGGCCTTGACATACCCTTATGATATACCCTAAACACGATGGTGCTTACCCAAGAGGGATTTGAAGACCACTTCTATCAAGATTACCTTGAGGGAGTAGAGTTTGTAAAATACTAAGCTGACTGAGTCAAAACCCCTGGGAATCAGAGCCCATGTAATCTGCACTTTAACAAGCTTTCTACTTGATTATCATGTGGCCAGTATTTGTTTTGTTTTATTTTTGTTTCTTTGAGACAGAGTCTCACTCAGTTGCCCAGGCTGGAGTGCAGTGGCGTGATCTTGGCTCACAAGTGATTCTTGTACCTCAGCCTCCTGGGTAGCTGGAACTACAAGCGTGAGCCACCAAGCCCAGCTAATTTTTGTGTTTTTAGTACAGATTGGGTTTCACCATGTTGGCCAGGCTAGTCTTGAACTCCTGACCTCAGGCGATTTGCCCACCTT